GGGAAAAAAAGAGAAATGCGAAACAGAGTTTAAGAATATATTCATCTGGTTTTTTAATGTCTTTTACACAGTTCTGACAAATTACTAAGGATGAAACTTATTTGGTAACATAAAACATATCTATATGACATGTATAGTACAAAAACAAAATTCTGATTTTTAAATCTTCACCCTGCTATTCTGGACTTTGCACAGTAAAAGACCAACCCTGACAAAGGAAATGAATGCAGTGATGCATTGTTTGGCAGCATACAGTAATGCCTATAAGCCTGGACAAGTTGTTCTATTGTTATTGATGCTCTTATTTGGGTGGACATAATTTAATTCCATGAAACAATATCACTCATTCATCATGTTGAGGGCTGACATTTCTATCAGGCTTATTGATGCAGAGTCAAGTGAATTTAGTAAAGTGTAAAATCATACACAGATGTAGATAGGTTGCTGTTGACTGAAAATTAAAAAAAAAATGTCAGAAAAACACAGAGCAGTCTACAATACAAGTTATCCAACATGCTAACAACCTCACAGCCTACACGTGTAACATGCAGACATTTGAGGGGGAAAAATTTTTTCAGAGCTTAATCATACTAAGTCACGTTTAAAGCCCTGCTGACTCTCCCTGAACCCCCGGTGAATCAGTGATAAACATTTGGTTTAAATAATGAGCACCAAGCTACTGAGTAGGAAATGTGACAATTTGCTGCAAAGGTTTCAGATTCTGTAAGTGAGTAAATCCTAAAGCACCTTTTTTAAGTTTCAAGCAATGATGAACAATGCTAAATCGTTTTTCTAAGACTCCGAAATGATACAGGAGGGCTTAGGGCTCATAGGCTATTTGATAAGTTCAAAATGGCCCTTTTTGCCTTTTTGAGTGTAATGTCAATTACAGGCCAGTGTTACAATATATCAATGGCTTATTATGGAAGCTAATGTCATATATTCAATGCTCTATTGATCCTTGGAGATGCCAGTCTGGAGAGGGGGGCATTTTCCTCTGGCCTTGCTCTCTGTGATGACAGAAATTGAGTCAAACTGTCAATTGTGAAAAATGGTTCAAATTTATCTAGAGAAAGACTTGCTAAAAGGATAACTCAGCTTGTTTGTCTGGCTAGTGTAAGGACATTTGTTTCAAATATTTTTCTAACTCAGTGTGTTTATATAAATTATTTTTTTCTGTGTCCTTCAAATTTTATTTAAATTTAGACGTATAGAGTTAAATAGAATTTCAAGTAAGTACTCTAACTCGGTTTTACAGGATTTTGACAAGATCAATGTTGAAAGAACCACATTTTCAGAACAATTGGAAACACCCTGCAAGTACATTAACCTGCAGCAAATTCAAAAAGTACAAAGGAAGCACAAATATGATACTTGCAAACAAAAGGAAACATATAATATAAGTATAATATAAGGGGTAGACTGTTTTATTTTGCAGCAGTGCACTGTTGCCAACTGCTTTCAAAGCCGCTTAACTTTAAAATTATAAGACTGTTGCCCCTTGATTAGTCAAGCATTGTCAAATACAAATTAATTATTCTTACTTAAATTTAAATATTCTATTTACAATTCTCCTTTGAAACCCTTAAGTATTCACAAACCTTTAAAGGAGATGCAATTCTTCTATTAAGACACACACACACACACACGTAAATGGATATGTTTTTAGAACAGTTTTCTGTGTTTTAAATTAGTTTGTGTTATTGTGTGGGAATGCTTGTTGATGAGATCGATTAAAGAATAATTTCTGTAAGCAGCTGAAAGAGACAACATTCTATTTATTCTATTCTATTCTATTCTTAAACTCAGATTTACAATAAACCAGCTAAATTACAAAATACAATAATGTAATTTTTGCTCCATATCGTAATCCCTATATTCTTTTTGTTTAACTAAACATTTTGGAAAGGTGAATTTAGCTTCTTCCATCTTAATTACTGCCACACCTGTGGATTTTGGAAAACATTTAAATAGAACATTTCTGACGGAGAAATGTAGGAAAAAAAGATTTTGAAAAGGAAGCCGTTATACTCCAAACTTAAAGGAGAACACCGTTTTTTTTTACATTGGCTACATGATTTTACGTTATAACATCATCTTCTACTCACCCATATTAGTTTTGCGTCATTTGGAACTGTTTTGAAGATATTCGATTTTGTTATCCAAGTAACGTCTTCCTATGGGAAACGAGTTCAAGGCACAAACTAAACTGTACGCCAGCATTCATAAAATGTAGGCAAATCCCTGTCCCCCAGACATCCGCGGTTATATTTTTTATATTTATGTTTTTTGAATACAATACAGAGTGTGTATGACGTCATCCGAGTGCCGGACTGGAGTTGTGACAGGCAACCTGGGCCACAGGCGGCTACGCTTTACCCCTTCTATTCATTCGGCTAGCTAATCTGAATCATTCAATTACATTTCCAGAGTGAGATCATCTGTGGTAGAAGCACTAGACATCTTCCAGGCATGTGAGTAAAACTAGCAGCAGTTCATCGGACAGGAAGAATGAACTGTAGCCGGTGTGCGGATGACGTCAGACACACTCTGCTTTGTTTTAAAAAAATATAAATATAAATAATATAACCGTGGATGTCTGGGGGACAGTGATTAGCCTACATTTTATGAATGCTGGCGTACCATAAATAATATATTATGAACAGTTTAGTTTGTGCCTTCAACTTGTTGCCCATAGGAAGAAGTTACTTGGATATAACCTAACGGAATATCTTCAGAAGGGCTCCAAATGACACAAAACTCATATGGATGACTAGAACATGATGTAATAATGTAAAATCAAGGGGCCAATGTAAAAAAAAACGGTGTTACCCTTTAATAAGGACATGTGACTCGTAAGTAACCACACAAAGGATTCATTACGCACAAATGGATAAAATATACTATTGTTGAACCTTCACATTAGTAACCTGCCATTCAATGTTGTTCCAGCAGTATACAGATGACCTATCAAGGCATTTCAAAACATGAATAACAATATCAAATGCACTGCAGATTTCAGCTGCCTCAACTAGGTTCAATGTCCTTCATTCAAGATAATTTCATTAATTTATTTGTATGTTTATCAATTTATTTATCTATTTGATTCATTTATTTTGCCGACAGACAAGGTTAAAGAGTAAGAATCTGAAGAAATTCTGCTCCGGTGCGAACTGACAGAAGTGAAAAAGGTGTCCTTAGAAAAAAACTGAGCAAAAATCCAGTTACCTTCAAAATTAAGCTCGTTTTGTATTTGCCATGGATGACTGTGAATTTAAACGGGAAAATCGGAAAGAATCCCTTTCATTTCAGAAGAGGTAATCATCATGGTCATTATGGTAGTGGTAGTGTCGTGATGTGGGCCTGCTTTACTGGTTTAGGACCTGGGTAACTTATCAATATGTTAAAAAAAATATGAATTCAGCTCTCAGAACCAGAATTTCTAAAATTCTATTTTTTTTTACTTTAAAATCTAGCACAATTAAATACAACTTGAATTTTAATTAGGTGCTATGGCTTGGTATAACATGATTTAAGTCAAGTTTAAGGAACAAAGTTCTTGCATGAATGGCATATTGGTGAGCCCCTCATTCTTACGGTGTCTGAATGGTGAAAATGCCCTGGAAATGCCGTGCAATAACGCACAGATGTAAAAGGTAATTTAATGTATAAAAACAGGAATTTATCTTGAGAATTTCTAAAATTGATTTTTTTTTTTTTTACCTTAAGATTAAGTGTGATTAAAGACAAATTTCTAGTTACTACAAATAATGCTAATAATACACTTTGATTTGAAAAGACACACTTTTCCTTATAGGCCATGTCCTTTGAACACGTTTTTAATTATAAGGTTAAATCTATGTTGGAAACTGCTTTTTTTTTTTGCTGTGCTGTGATTTTCTTTCTTTCTTTCTTTCTTTCTTTCTTTCTTTCTTTCTTTCTTTCTTT